GGACGAGACATATCTATGGGTGATGTCAAAACATTCAGTGCCAATATCTGCAAAATGGAATGTTGGAGGAAGGTACTCTCAAAGGGCGGTTACAACGTCTAGACAAAACCAATTTAAGAATTATGCATTATGTTCTCCTAATACATTTTTAGCGCATTTGCAAACTCGTCAACTTCCTTATTTATAGAGTTCATTGAAATGTTAACCACAGATGCTTCTAGAAAAAACGAGCATATCGCATATTGTAAAAATCAGATGTGCGCATGCGCAAACTACTTTTAAAAATTACATCAGGATCACAGACTAAGTAAATATCAATTGCTAAGCTTCTTATCTCATCTTCTCCTAATACTATTCTCTTTAGGAATCATTGCAGAAATGTATCAGGATTACAGAAATGTTGAATATATTTTATAACCAAGCTCATTATCTTCTCCTAATACTTTTCCTAAGGAATCATGAATAACTGAAACCAAGAGGGTATGTACGAGGATCACAGAAACGTAAGGTGTAGTAAAATAATTTCTGAGAAAAACCTCAGTATTTTGTTCTTTTAATACAAATTGGTGCACCAGGGCCACAGAAACACGCATTTTTATTGAACATTTTGTAAAGATCGTCGTTATTCGCCATTTTTTTTATTGTATCAGGATCACAGAAATTCAATTGAGTGAGTAAATAATCCGTCTCATATTGTGTTCTCCTGATTTCTATTTTTGGTTTGTTGCGTGATGGATCACCTAAAACCAAGCGAGTGAAATATTGTAAATAATTTAGTAGGGTAGTAAAGGCTTTCTCGGTCTTTATATTCTTCTAATTTCAAATTCGTTTCTAGAAATATTGTATCAGGAGCACTGCGTGAAAAGCATGTGAACAATGGCAAACCAGTTCTCTGTTATTGAGATCTATATCGTTTTCAATTTTGGTATCAACATCGCAGAAAAGTAAGAATATGGGAAACATGTTCTCCCAATATCAATTTCTCGTTTAATATTATCAGGGTCACATAAATGCCTGAATGGGCGATTGTTATTTATCTTTTATGCTATCGCTCTTTGTGCAATGGAATCTGACCTGTGGGTGGTTTTGTGTTTTAAGATTGTACGGTGAGATGCACTCATGTTTCTATCTTTCTTTGTTTCGGAATGCCGATGTGGAGGATCCTAACGCGGGCCTCTTTCCTCTCAATGACCTCGCTCGTTTAAAGTAATTGCGAGGCGGAACCGGACCATGTTCTCGTTAAGTTGGTGAAAGTTGATTTTGCTCTACGGCATTAGATCAATAAGGGCGGCGTGGAACCCAAGTCCAGACGCGCATGTGCTCCCAGTTTTCTCGCCCCTTACCAATCACGCCATCAAAAAATTAATTTTATAAGAATTACGTACATGTTTATAATAATTTTCAGCTATTTTCGAAATTTCAGGGGGGGGGGCATCGAAATATGCGCCCAGCTGCCACCCGCCTTTCAGTTTTCTTTTAGCTCCGCACAACCATAGCCCTTTTAATTTCGACTTGCAATGCTAATTAATTATTGCATTGTAATTATGCGCACTTTGCGCCAATTGAAAGAAATTGTGCGCAGAGAGGGATGATGAAGCAGTACCTTAATCTAATGTTCCACCGAATGCTCATAAAACTTTGAAGACACCAAATTAGTTAATGCAGCGCCTAATCTACGCATAATGGATTTATGCGCCAATTATGCGTAATTTTGCGCAACAAAAAACGTCACATTCTTATGCAGAAAGTAATTATTTTCTGCTATTTTCCAAATTTCGGAGGGGGATTGAACCCCTTAGCTACGGCCTTGTCAAAGACGGTTATGAGGACGCGGAAGGAATACGACACGTTCTTTTTACATTTTCCACCGGCTCGTGCGACTTTTCAATAAGGGCGATAATATCATCATTTACTGCACGAGAGAGGCGATCGACCCTTCGAGTAAAAGCGCGTCAGCATTCCACCCTTTTCCTCCCTTCTTTATAGGGGTTCGAACGAAAGCTCGTACGTAGCACCTGTCAAAACCCAACTCGACGATCCGAAGCTGCAGCTTGTGCATTTATTCCCTGCAAAGACCAAAAAATTTAGTTTCGCTCAAATGTGGCATTTAATAGCTGTTGAATATGAAGATATCGAGTTCTCGTGTAGTTTTTTGAAAAATCCTCTTAAAGGCGCGAATTTCGAAACGTGTTATAAAAAGAGCACAATTTTTCAAATTTTTCTGACAAATTTGATAATCACGATAAGGAATAAGTAAGTATATAAAATTGGTTTCGAAAATCTGATCGAATTAGTTTTTGAAAAACCGACGAAATTCAAAATTTTTGGAATTAATAGAAAAAGACTTACGGGGCCCATACTCCAATATTTATGAAAAAATTGTACCTAAAATAATGTCGACCTTGACCAACTCCGAAATAATGCAATATTGGTTTTAAAAAATTCAAAAATCGAACTTTAGGATCTTGGGGTTAGGAATTTTTGAAAATTTACAAAAATCGAAAATAGAACAATTGTGACCAAATCGAACTGCATTCTCCGCTTAAGTATTTTATGTTTGGGAACACGTCAATTTTTTGAAAAATTTTATTGGATTAGAAAAATTCCTCTTGGGTTAGTAATTTTTGAAATATTAAAAAAAAGAAAAATGAAAATAGGGGGTCCAATTGTTTCTTAACATTTTAAAAAATCCCTTGCCTAGATAACAATTTTTAGATTTTCCACCCTACCTTTCTTAAGTGGAAAAGTTGTATTATTTTTTTGCCAGTAGAAATTTTGTAAATTCAAAAAATCTTTGTTGTCATCGCGAAGTAAGAATTTGTGATTTTTTTAAACCGTAAAGGGCCATTTATTGAAAAAAGGTACTCGAAAAATGTCGAGTGGGCAAAATTTGGTCGGCTTTAAAACAAAGAATTTAAAATTAGTTTTGAATAATTGAAAAAAAAAGTCCAACTTTGTTTATATTTTGGGGGTTATATTTTGAGTAACAAGTATTGAAAAATTAAAATAAATCGGAAATTCAAAATATTGAATATTAAAAATTTGTTATCTGCTATCTATGGGCTATATATCTTTGGAGTGGGAATATTTTTTTGAGTAGAAATTTTGAAAAAATTGATATCGCTAAAAATCCGTATGAAAATTCCAAAGGAAAATATGAATTTTTTTCTACTTAAGATTGCACCATCGTGGGGTAGGAATTTTTGAAGTATTTTTTAATAACAATCATACCCGAATATTTGTGAAAAAAATTGTACCTAATATAATGTTGACCTTGACGACCAACTCGAAAATAATGCAATATTGGTTTTGAAAGTTTCAAAAATCGCAAGTTTATTTTGCACCAGGATAAGAATTTTTTTAAAATTTTTAAAAGTCGAAAATAGAAAATAAATTCAAAGTCAATTGTCAATTGAGTTAGAATTTTTTGAAACATTTTAATAAATTTTTGAAATATTAAAAAATGAAAATATCGAACCCAGTATTGTTTAACATTTTAAAAATCGAGATGAAATAAGGATTTCAAAATTATTTTTGAAAATTCGATAGTTCTATTTAAAAAATAAGAAATCAAAAATTTTGGAAAATTCGAATAATCCAATCATGTAATTTTTAACAAACTTAAATTGGTCTTGGGATTGCTAATTTTGAAATTCAAAAAATGAAATGCAAATATCAAAGCGAATTGTTTCTTAACATTTTCCTACACTCTTCGCAAGGGTGGCGCCATCTTTTAGTAAGAATTTTTGTATTTTCCAAAATTGCTTAAGGTGGTGCTTCCGAGGGCATAAAATGAGAGTTTCAAAGGACTTATCGGTTCGCAATCGTAGAATTTTTGATTTTTTTAAATCGGAAAGGGTTATTTGTCAAAAATTCGATCTGGACAGTATTTGGCGAGGTATTTGACGATGTATGCAATTTTTGAACTTGGAAATAAACCCCTTTTAAAAAATTGAAAAAAGTAGTATTTTCAAAATTCGAAAAGAGATTTTTTTGTAGGTTGCGACAGGTGTGGTAAGGCGGGGTCATTTAAACTCACGTAACATCAAAATTAATTTCGCGCATTCCGAAATGCACCAACCAGATCTACCCGTTTGCTGTGACGTCATTTGTGCGTGACTATCGAGCCTACTTCGTTTAACTAAACTAAATGCGGCTACATTCCTACTATTTAAAGCAAATGCTAGGGAGCACGTTTTGCATTAATTATTAGGAATTTCCATTTGGATCGAGTCAAGTGGTTTGCAAACACTTGGTATATTTGTATTAACTCAAACTATCTTCTAATTTGTGGTTTCGATGTCTCTTTAGTTTCAGGCCAGCGTGTAGGTACGCCACTGTCGCGATAAACGCTATAAATAGCTCTGACGCATAGAGTGGAAAAACCCGCTTATTGCGTCGCATTTTAAGTTTGAGTGCGTTTGACCTTGACGGGTCGTAACTATTTTTTGGAATGGGCAAATTACGCGTTTGTTCAGAGAATCGATCAAATTCGACTCGCATGCGCGCCCTTCCCTTTTTTTAGAGGTGCGATGAGTGTGTTTTGAGTTTGCACTTCAAGACCATAAGATATACGGCTCATTGCCCGTTATTTCCAAATTCAAAATTATTTTCTTTTACCTGGTGGCGTAAAATGGGACCATTTTTGATCTTCCGCTGCGAACTTTTGGTACCAAAATCGTGACCAGGCCACGAGGAAGTCCCTCGTATTGGTTACGTAATTCAACAACGAAACGAAAAGTGTCCGTGCCAAATGCCCTTAGGGTCTTTGACTCGAGATCCATTGTGTCGTTTCGATCACATTTGTAAAAGATCGCCCTGTATAATTTTCGTCCCGGATCCCTCATTCGGTTTCAAGTCAAAAATTTGGAAAGGAAATTTCCATCGTGTCGCGGACGCATGCGTTTTGTACGATTGCCCCGTCCAAATCGTTACCCTCCCCGCTACCAACCGCGCCGGTCCCCTCAAGCATGACCCGACTCTGCCCGTTTTACCACGCTCACTTCCTTTTGCTTCGGTCTCGGAACGCGTGCACGTTACACCATCGCCATCTTGTATAAAAAAACGAGCGCGCACGAGGGCAAATTTTAATTGCTCACTTTGTATTTCGCGCGACCTTCACACATGCATAGCACATTATTTTTAGCCTACAGCCATTCTTTTGGAAAAAGAAACATTCCAATCTCGACGGAATTTTGCGGTCTTTGAACTTGAATGTTTAAAAATTGGAAGAAACGCCCACTTTCTTCGCTTTAGGTAAGAATTTTTGAAATTTTTTACTTATTCGGTTTACTAGAACGTGTTAGCACCTCCAGATGCAGTAGGGTGCTTATGGACATACAGTACATGTTTGCCAAACGTGACAATGACAGCACAAAGAGATTATGTTGTTCATCAATCATGTCAGTTTGGCATCATTGCGGTGAGGAATAAGGATAGCGTTATCACGAATGACGCAAATTAGTAAGAGAGGCATTTAGTCCGTAAGACCCCATACTGCATCTAGAGGTGCGAAAATCTAGATTCTCTGCATTTCGATTAGTCATGGAAAAGAAGTGCACGTAGGTATTCAAAATTTGAGCCAATCCAATATGCCATTTTGGAGAAATTTTGGAATTTCGAATTTTAAAAAATTACAAAATTGGACCAAAAACCTAACTAATCACATTTTGAAACTTCCAAAAAAATTAACAACGGGGTAACCTTGGCATACGATTTTTTTTTAATTAGGTACTGCAAACTACAAACAGCTGACCAATTTTTCCAAAATTCATGCTCTCAACGGAATATGTTGTTGTGAATGAAAACCAGTAATTAAAAAATTTTCCACTTGAGGTGCACCATCTTGAGGGCCAAAGTTTTGAAAAACAGAATGAGAACGGGCGTACCAAAATTCAGTTTTTGAAAATTTTTAAAAATCGATGAATAGTTGAAAAATGTTCACAAATTGGGAAGTGTACACGTTTACTGGTTGTTCAAAACTCGTACCCAAAAAGGGGTAACTGGAGGCAACTTTTGAACTTGAAAATATCGAATCCAAAATTAATTTTTGAAAATTTGAGCGAATTTGCAGTGGCGATTTTTGAATTTCAAATTTTTTTAAATCCAAAAAAAGCCCAACTGTGTTTTGCGCTTCTGACCCTAAACAAATTTTGAATCTTCGAATATCTTTTTTTGACATTTCGAAGAAAAGCATCTTTTCCGCGGAGGAGTATTCTACGCCATCTTGGAGTTGGTATTTTTACTGAATTTTATATCCAAAAATGTTTCCTCTAGGATGGCGCATTCCTAAGCGTAAAATGTATTTTTGAGTAAACGTTTTGCAAAAATTGGTTGTATTGAATGACTAAAACTAAAAACGAATTCAAAATTTACTTTTGAAAATTTGAAAGAAAAATACGCATTTTTTCTACTTGGGGGGTGCACCATCGTGGGGTAGGAATTTTTGAATTTTTTTCCAATTGATAGAGGCTAAAGGCCGGTGACTCGAGTTTTTTTTTCAAAAAAATTGTACTTAAAATATTGTTGACCTTGACCAGCAGGAAAATAATGCAATATTAGAATAGAAAAATTCAAAAAATCTAACTATTTTATTTTACACCAGGATGCGAATTTTTGAAAAATACACAAAAATCGAAGGTAAATTCAAAATCAGTTCTTTACATTGTAAAAAAAATCGAACTGCATTGTCCGCTTGGGTTGGGTCCTCTTGGAGAAGGAATTATAAATTTTTGAAATATTTAAAAAAAGCAAAAAATGAAAATATCGGACCCAATTGTTTCTTAACATTAAAAAAAATTCAGTTGCGCTTTCCGCTTAGGTTACGCATCTTTGGGTAAGAATTTTCAAAAAATGTTTATCCCAAGCGGAATATGAGATTAGACATTTTCAAAAAAGAACACTATTTTTTGTAGGGTTCGCAATCATGGATTTTTTAAATTTTTTCAAAATTAATTTATCAAAAATTCGTACACACATGGTGGTATTAGACAGTTTTTGTTTTGAGAAATTTAAAAACACGGAAATTCAAAATATTGAAAATTGTAAACCGTTAACTGTGTTCTTTGCTTTCTATGTGGCTCGGAGTAATAATTTATACCTATTCAATTTTATATACAAAAATGTTTTCTTCGAAAGTGGTAAACAATATTGTAGATTTTTAAAAGCGAATGGTGGCTTCTTTGCATTAAATATTTTTTTGAGTGCAAATTTTTCAAAAAATGTTAAGTGGTAGAACAGGCTACGAAGATTTTTCTTTGTATATCTGAACTTCATTTTGTGATTCTTCTGTATTTTTTGTTTTCGAATTTTTTTCAATGTCATTATTACGTTTATAGGAGAAGAATAAAGACTATTATTATTATTAAAATTTTGTTCGTAAAAATCTGGCCGTACCGAATTCAAAATTAATTTTTGAACGTGTGGGTAGGGTAGGCTCGTATCTGAATATTTATAAAAAATTTAAGAAAAACAATGCATTGAAAAATTTAATAAATTTGGTTTTGGGTTTAGGAATTTTTGAAAATTTGAGAAAAAATCAAAATTAGTTTCTTACATTGTAAAAATACTGAACTGCGTTTTTTGCTTGGGTTGAGCCACTTTGAGTTATTTTCTATTTAAAAAAATTCGAATAATCCAATCTAATTATGCGCCATGTAATTTCTGAAAAATTTAAAGAAAATTGATTTAGAAAAATTGGTATTGGTGTTATTGGTAATTTGGAAATTCAAAAAAGGAAAAATGAAAATATCAGACTGAATTGTTTGTTAACATTTTCATATTTTTGAGTAAGAATTTTTGTATTTTGTGTGTGTAAATTCGGAAAAAAATCTGTTGTTTGTAGTTACGGGTTCGCAATCGATTTTTGATTTTTTTAATCGGGAAGGGTTATTTACCAAAAATTCGATCAGGACATTTGGCGAGGTATTAGGTGATCTTTGACGGTGTAATTATTTTTGAACTTGAAAATAAAAAGTGCAAAATCACTTTTAAAAAATTCAAAAAACTTTATGTTTAATGAAGTGTCGTCTTAGGGAAGCAATTTTTGAAGAATAAAAAAATAAAAATTCAAAACTTGCCCCAATTGTTTCTTAACATGTTAGAAAATCCAGTTACTACTGTTATAATTACCAAAATGTTTACCCGAAAATAGTGCTTTCTCGAGCGAATTTAAAAAAATCGATTTTTTACTTACCAGTTCGCCATCGCAGTGTAATAATTTTTGAATTTATTAAACATTAGCACTCAAAAAATTCGATTTGGTAGTATTAGGTGGTCTTTGACTTTTGAAAAATCCAATCTAATTTTGGAAAATTCAAATTAAATCTTTTGTTTGGAGAAGACAAATTTTAAAAAAATGTAAACAGAAAATATCAGAGGCAATGGGTTTCTAATAATTTTATGAAACTTTGTTGTATCGTAGAAATTTTCAAAAAAGGTTTCAAAAATGTTGATTGTGTCACTGTACCTCAAAATAGGAAGATTTATTTCTCAAAATTTAAAATGATATTTTCATTTTTTTGTGGGTTGCGAGAGGTGGGGTAAGGCGGGTTCGGTTGAACTTTCAGGTAACATCAAAATTGGTTTCGCGCATTCCGAAATGCACCAACCAGATCTACCGGTTTGCTGTGACGTCATTTGTACGTAATTATCGTGCCTACTTCGTTTAACTAAACCAAATGCGACTACAAAGCAAATGAAAGGGAAATTTAACCACGTTTTGCATTAATTATTAGGAATTTCCATTTGGATTCACGATAATCGAGCCAAGAGGTTTGCAAATACTTGGTATATTTGTCTTAAATCAAAAATTCACTTAAACTGGCTCCACCTGTTTTTTTTATCTTTACTTAATTTCTGGTTTCGACGTGACAGCTGTCTCCGTAATTGCCAACGTGTAAGTACGCCACTGCCGCGATAAGCGCTATAAATAGCTGTGACGCATAGTGGAAAAACCCGCTTATTGCGTCGCATTTTAAGTTTGAGTGCGTTTTGACCTTGACGGGCCGTAATTAATTTTTTTTTGGAATAGGCGAATTACGCCTTTGTTCAGAAAATCGATAAAATTCGACTCGCATGCGCGCCCTTCCCTTTTTTTAGAGGTGCGATGAGTGTGTTTTGAGTTTTCCACTTCAAAAACAAAAGATATGCGTCTCATTGCTCGTTATTTCCAAATTCAAAATGATTTCGTCTTTTACCTCGTGGCGTAAAATGGGACCATTTTTGATCTTCCGCTGTGAAGTTTTGGTACCAAAGTCGTGACCAGGCAAACGAGGAAATCAGACTCGTATTTATTACGTAATTCAACTACGAAACGAAAAGCATCCGTGCCAAATGCCTTTATGGTCTTTGACTCGAACGAAACCATTTCCCTCCATTGTGTCGTTTCGATTACATCTGTAACAGATCGCCCTGTATATAAATTCGAGCAAGTTTCGTCCCACCTGGCTTCGGATCCCCCATTCGGTTTCAAGTCAAAAATTTGGAAAGGAAATTTCCATCATCGTGCCGCGGACGCATGCGTTTTGTACGATTTCTCCGTCGAAATCGTTACCCTCCCCGCGCCCAGGCCACAATGAGCACGACCCGACCCTACCCGTTTTACTCCGCTCACTTCCATTCGCGTCAGTCTCGGCCTACTTTGTTAACGCTGTATTATTTGAGAAACCTCAACTGTCAAACGTGTACGCTTTGCATTTTCATCGGCGCCATCTTGTTGAAAAAGTGACCGCGCGAGGGGGGAAAATCAAAATTTTAATCGTTCACATTGTATTTGTAGCGACCTTCACACATGCATACCGCGTTATTTTTAGCCGACGGGGAGGGCGTCGCTAGTTAATTACGTACGTTTACACGTTTCGAATCCGATCGCATCAATAATTCCCGTTTTTCTTTTTCAGGTTAACGAATTATGAAAGATAGCCAACAAATGTCAGTTGACATCTCTAGTCAAAACGAAATGGCCTTGAGCGCACTACCGCCCGTCTCCCTAAAGGAAGCCAACAACATCTATCGGGTCGATTCGATTGTCCCCGACGAGAATTATCATTTGAACTTAACGGACGAAGACGAAAGTAAGCCGTTTTCGCGCACTTCTCCATTCCACATTTCTCACACTGGCATTTTTTCAGATGCGGAAAAAAAGTCGGCCGTCCCCGATACCTCACAGGAATCCGAGGACGACATTTTAAATAAATTTGAAAGTTCCGAAAGCGATGAGCCAATCACGAACGGTTGCCCGGAAACCGATGACAAGCTCGAAGATCGACTTTTAAACGATTGCATTGACACTAAAGAAGAAAGTGTAAATAATACAGAAGTTAGTGACGATAGGGACTTAAATAACAAAAAAAGTGTGTTCAGTGAAAGTGACGAACCAGATCTTAACGAAAAAAAGGACGTAGACACAGAAACAAATGACACCGAAACAAAAGCGACTGACGATCACGACAACAAAATGGTCGCTGACACAACACCGAATGACATCGAGACTGAAAAAGCGGCTTCAGATGAAGATGAAAAAAAGGAAGAAAGTGAGGACGTCGAGATGAAAGAGGATACCGAAGCGAAACAAAAGAACGACGAAATGAAAGAGGATTCCGAAGCGAAACAGAAGGAGGACGCCGAAATGAAGGAGAAAGCGAACGCGGAGCTCCTCAAGGATCAAATCTTGGACACCGAGGATCTGCTACAAATCGTCGACCAACAAGACACCGCCGACGAGCCGAACGAGAACAGCTGCAGCGGCGAAAACACGCCCGACAAGGAGGAGAGCGACGAGGCCGAAACGGACAAAAACGACGACGAGGAGGAGACGTCCGCGTCGAAGAACGACGACGACACCGTCGACATCGAGGAGGACTCCCCGTACAAGGGCGATTTCGATAGCGAGCTCGATAAGGAGTACGAAAAGATCGTCAACGAGAAGGAAAATGAGGAAAGCAACGAGAAAGCGGCGCAGCAAAAAATGGAGGACGATGTCGGCGAGAAGACTGTCGCTCCGGAGGAGAAAACCGCCGAGGAGAGTATGGAAGTGACTGAAAAAACCGAGGAGCAAACCGATGAAACCTCGGATGAAACTAAAAGTAGTGGGATCGAGACCAAAGCTCAAACTGAAAATAGTGGTAAGTTTTCTAGTTGCTTACTGATCCTGATCCCATCCTCGTCCAAATTCCAGATTGACTTGGTGGCAATTTTTTCTTGTGGTACTTGCTAAAAATTCCCAGAATTTTGAAACCTACGCTAATTTTTTAATTCGAATTTTGTAATATTTAGTGTCGGGCCCGTCGCAGGGTTCGAGATCTCAGCACTCTGACCACGAAAAACTTCATTTTTGATGAAATTGACATATTTTGGTACGCGCCAAAAAGGAGACAAGGTTCATTTTTTGCCAACCAGTGATAACCTCGGTGGTAACGATACAAAATTGGTGCATGGATTACGTTTTTTGACACATTTATCTAGTGCCTTTTGGGTTTTTTGGGGGTTTTTGGGCGCCAAAAGAGCACAATGTTCATTTTCTGCTAATCAAAGGTCATTTTGAGTACAAAGTGGGGCCATGAATTACGTTTTTGCGATCTTCTCCATAAATAATGACATGGTCATCACGGTTTTTTTTAATATAATTTGAACGTCATTTTTTGGGGATCCAAAATTGATTTTTTGGATTACGTTTTATGCTTGAAATTTACCTTTTGGGCATTTTTGGGGAAATCGTCGCATGAATCGAATCAATTGTCTAACGGATCATGTTCCTTTGTGCCCTTTGAGCAAGGTTTCAGAAACAAATACAGGCGAAGTGCCTTCGGACGACGATTTTCCGTTACGAACGCTTAAGGTTCACATTTTGAGCATAACTTTTTCAGCAAAATTGTCTCTTTTTGAGTAGTTTCGGAACAGAAAATCGCGCATGCGCAGGTGTGGGGGTGGTATTTGTGGTAGCCACGGCAATTTTTTTGAGCATGGAGCTATGTCTGCAATTTTCTTTGCAAAATTATCTCATATATCGTTTTTTTGTACCCTTTGAGCAAGGTGTCAAAAAAAAATAAACAAAGCACCTGAATTATTTGGCACCTTGGAGAATAATTTTCTTGTCCCGAAATGAATGGCATGGAAGTAACTGCAATTTGAATTTGGTGATTTTTAATCACAAATCATCACACCTCAAGAAGATCCTAAACTTAGATCGTATCCTCCCATTTATATATATTATATATTTTCAATATATTATATATTATATTTTTAATATATTATATATTATATTTTTAATATATTATATTATATTTTAATATATTATATATGCCATTTACCTTCAATGAGTAGCGTCTGTGCCAACATACCTAACACAGTCAGAGGTATATTTTGCACCGTAAGCAGAACACCGCACATGCGCAATAGCATTTTAACGCACGAAACTAGAAAGAATTTAAAATGTGTCCAGTGTGACTGCAATGAATGATAAATCCACGGACGGTCGTACACACACTACACAGATCTTGAAATCCTGTTGTTTGAAACGAGTTTCTTACGTGTCGTCAGACTCGTTAATTCCTCGCTCAGCTACTAGGTGGCGCATGGATCGAAGTATGTTTTCAGCATAAGCGCCATATAGTACAGCCAAAGCTGGTATGAGACCACGTAAAGCATGCGTCCCGTTAGCGCAGATGGCTTAATCGCCGACCGCAATCCCAGCGCGCGCTTTTTTTTTTACTACACGTTCATTAAATTTATGACTTATACCACAGATCTACACATACACAGATTGCTAACCTTATGCATTTTTTGGGAAACAAATTTAAGGTATACTGAAAAGCGCCCTCTATTGCGGAGCAGTATAAACATGTATCATTTAAAACTGTAATATGACGCTTATGGATTTGTGCGTTAGATGTCGCTGAAACAAAATTAAAACGCTAAAGTTTGCACAGTTCGAATTCCTTAATATTCATATTATTACAGTGATATGATAGGAGGTACGCTGAGCCATAATTGTTTAATTTAACACTGGAGCTACTCATTCGTCGTATTACAGTTTTAAACGGTACATGTTTATACTGCTCCGCAATAGGGGGCGCTTTTAAGTATACCTAAATTTGTTTCCCAAAAAATGCATAAGGTTAACACTCTTTGTATGTGTAGATCTGTGCTTATACTAAGCAAAACAAAGACAGTGCAATGTGTTGACGTGCGTTCAAGTGAGATAGAATGCTCAACCAACTAAAAGCGACGATGGCGTACATTCGTCCTTTGGTAGGCTAGTATCAATGTCATTTAACTCGTCATTTAATTGCTACTGTCAATATTGGTAAAGTTGTGTTTCTCTTACACTCCTATAATACTTATTGGGTCTCTTTCTAGCTTATAACAAGTATTTCGGGTGGAATATAATGGTAGTGAAACACTATTTTATATAGTTCTATCTTTTCGCAAAGATCGCCGTTTTTTATTAAGTTGGATGTATGATTGAAAAAGTGTAGTGTGTGTCGTCGTTTGCCGCCGTGTGCGTAGAGAGGCGAGTCTAAGGGAGGGTCAGAGTCATGCATATTGGTGTACAAAAAAGTGTAGTTTGTGTTGGGCCGTTGGAAAACTTCGTTTGCCAGCGTGGACGAAAAGAGGCGAGTCTAAGGGAGGGCCCGATCTATGCCGAACTCGCCTTCGGCTCGCTCGGCATTGGTGTGCAAAAAAGTGAGTGTGTGTTTAGCGGTTGGTAAACGTCATTTGCCACCATAGACGTAGAGACGCGAGTCTAAGGGAGGGCCAGAGTTATGCCGAACTCGCATTCGGCTCGCTCGGCATTGGTGTGCAAAAAAAGTGTAATGCATACATAAAACGTTATTGTTTTTCAAGGGCATTTTTCTTGTAGGTACCTACCTTTAGATATTTGTGAAGTGTGAACGCCTTTTAGGTATAGATGCAGCTTCACTGAAGTGCTTAGAATGTACTTTATGCATATTTGAAGCGCAACTCTACGTATTAATGAAGAAAATTGGCGTTAAACCTCGCAAAATATACTTAGGTCGTATGTTGATGTATACTTGGCGTTAAAAACACCCTCGCTGATTTTTACCAACCGCAAAGCTTAAGTTTCCGGCTTTATGGCTCAGTGGTAGAGCGTTGGGCTAGAAATCCGGAGATCGGGTGTTCGAACCTGGGTGGAGGTGAATTTTTCATCTGTGGCAGAGATGGAAATTACTTTAGACCAGTTCCGAGCATTCTACCGGCTACCCCGAATTAGATTTTCCTGCAGTTTTCCTAATTATTAAATTATTAATTATTAAATACCGGAGTAGTATAGAACAACTTAAGACCTTCTGCAGAGGCACATCTAAAAAGCATTATGCAGGTTACTCTGTAATTGGGCGCAAGCCTGTTGAGGGCCCAGAACAAGAGGGGGATAATAAACAAATAAATAATAAGTTAATGCTCTAAAAAGACAATTTCGACGACTACTCGCGTTAAGTTTTTCATATTTGTCTTAATTATCGTTAAAATAAAGTCCCGACCTAGGACACCCCTTTGTTTATCTTGAAATGGACTCTTCCATCAGTTTGACATTTAGTTTTCTTAAAATGGCGGAAAATTCTCATTTTAAGGAAATTAAGGAAAATACGCCTTTTCGTGGCGACAAAAGGCTTCCAACACATGCGGATGGAAATTTTAGAAAGTTTAAGACCCCCAAGGACGTGCCCGCGCCCTATTTAACTTAAAATTGCCATAAAAACGCTTTACTGATGACGTCATCGGTGATGTAAGGGTTAACTTTTCACGGAGGACCCGATGCCGTTGAAAAATTTGACGGAACGCAAAACATGCCGTGACCTTCACGCTGTTTCTACCATTATATTGAAATATTGAATTAAATCAGAGTCGCAATAATGTATGTTCATACCTCTATATGATCTTGAGCAGTTTTTGGGCAATCAAGTAATTGAGAGAAAAAGAAATTAGGGTAATTAAGAATTATGTAACAATCAAATTTCAAGATGTCCATCCGCGAATGTGCCGCCATCTTGCGTAATTTTATCTCTACTTCAACTTTGTAGTAATTCTAACGCTTTTCAATTGCTAAAATGAGAAAATGCCACCAGTTCACCAATTACGTGCTTGCTATTTTCCGTTAGTTCTCCTTGTACATGATCTTAGAGTATAAAAGAGAGGAGGAGGAAATTTGATCTGGAACCGATAAAATAGCCGCCTACAATTCCTTGGGGCGGAAATCGCTGGTGATCGTAAACGTATCATATCACCAAAAGTCTTTGATATCACGCACTAAAAAGTAGACAACATTTATTTTGGCAGCGAGAAAATGGCCGCGGCCGCCTCGCGGAAATTTGCTTCAACACGTGGCATTTGTCTTTACTTGTCCCCTCCCTTTCCTAGTCTAAGTGCATAATCAAGTAGCTTTTGACGTCAAGTTCTGACAACAGTAGCGCCTCCACTTCATCTCAATTTTTGATTTCGTAGATGCAGTCGATGCAACGCTGAAAACCAAAAGATCCCTATCGGAACCGGACACAAGCGTAGAACCCAAACGGCTACGATTGGAGGACGAAAATGCGACAAACGAAGATCAAAACTCCACGGTGGAAGAGAAGTCCGAGTCTCAGGTAGAAAAACCGCTTCCGACAGTAACCGAGTTGACCGCAATCTCGGAGTACATGCAGAAGAAATCTTTAAAACGCTTAACTCGCGAGGATCTCGAGCAGATTTGCCTGATGAAAATGTGCGAGGCGATCTGTCACAAGAGCGAAATCGGCGAGCTGAGACACCAGCTGAGCATACAGGAGCAGATGGTCGACATGTGGAGAAAGGAGGCGGCGGCGCTGGTGAAGCAGGCGCGCGACTTAGAAATAGTCAATAAAAGACTGCTACACGAAGTAAGACTGAAGACGGACAAGGAGAAGCCGCTGATTCCGGTTCGGATCACGAGATCGGTCGGGCTTCAAGTGCGCTCGGACAATAACGTCATGTACAACGCGATGCAGACGAAGCGACGGTTCGCGCGACCCACGACCACCGCCCCCGCGCCACCGCAGAAGCAGGTCCAGAGCAGGTTTAACCAGAACAAATCGCCGGCTACCGGTAAAACTATTGTTAACAAAACGGTGGCGGCCTCTCCGAATAAACAGGCGTCCGCATCGAAACCAAAGGTGAGTTTGCCAGATCCTGATGTCATTTTGTGAAATTTCATTTTGGTAGGTCGATGACGCCTGATTTAAGGTTATGACAGGTTAAAATAGGCGGAGTCAGAGATCGGTGCATATGTTTACTAAACGATGGTGCATCAATTTTATTAGGGCAACAGCAAAACGTGCTGAATAAGACCTATACTGTTATTGTAGTCGTATTCTGTGGTCTCTTTTTTTCAGGTTTCTTCCACCTTTTATTATTTTTTTTTCATTTTCTCATTTTCCTGGACTTTAAGGTAAGTAACTGTGTCTCTTGGAGCGCTCTGTAAAGCACCACTTATGAAGTTAGTCTAAGGCGTTCAAAAAGGAAAACGAAAACGCTCTCAAATGACCTCTGGGTCGCACTTTGGGTTGTATAAACACACACCTACTTGATTGACAAAGACAAAGGCAAACATGTGTTCAGTAAATTAAATTAAACGCAAAAGCCGTAAGAAAGATAGGCTTTCAAAGTCAGATTTACACATACCATGCATGCAAGCGATCGATAGACAATTTAAAAAAACCTTAATTATTTGCAGTTTTTAATACAAATTGAATTTTACCCTACGCAACGCGGTAACAAATGTTCTTATCGCATTGACCAGATAAACCTTTTCATAAATGGCGCCAGATGGCGAACACTTTTACCCAAAGAGAATATGTGTCTATTTATTGGATACAATTAGACAATTTTGCTCTTGTTTTCTCCTCGTGCTTACGAGGAATTGGCGCAGTGTGATATGTATCTTATTGGTTCCTTAAACGAAAACTAAATAAAGATTCCATTTATTCTTACAGCCACTCACCCCCAAAACCCCCAACTCATTGTTATCGAAAGCCTTGCAAAATTCTACCGCTCAAGCAGCAGCGAACTCGTCGACTAACACTACGACGGTGAGCAGCACCGTTGCGCCTCCCCTAGCTTCGATATCAAACACATCTACCACGTCTACCTCGCCCGCCACGACGAAATCCATTTCGAACGCATCTCCCAAGACCGGGAAGCCCACGGAAACGAAGGCGGGAGTTATCGATCTCACTGATGAAGACGAGAAGAAGCCGTCCGTATCGTCGGCAACCACCACCACTGTAAATACAACTCAGGGCGTTCGTATCGTTTCGACGCCCGTTAAAAATACCAGCACCGTATCGTCTGGTAACGTTGTGAATCCGCCCCGCATCATGTATCTCTACAACAACCAGCTGCATCAAGGTGTCATCACAGATTCGCCAAAGGGCGGTCCCCAGAAAGTAATGTTCAAACTCAACTCGAACGTCATCGGTAAGTAATCGAGCGTCCGCCAAAGAAACTAATCGCATTTTTAGGTCAAGCGAACGGTGTCTTGACGGCGGTAACGAGCGGATCTCCAATCTCGGTCAGTAACGGCACCGTACGGACGAGCCAAGTCCAATCGGTTCGCTTCTCCTCGCCGACGACGACGGTACGAACATCGGCGTCGACGAAGGCCGTAGCCAAACATCCCGCTCCCTTACCCCCACCTCCCATAACGCAAATAGGTTTAGCCGCAAGAAAACCAATACCGCCCAAACCGCACCTGTCGATCAGACGATCGAGCGGCGGCATCGTACTCTCGTGGAAGATGCCGTACATTTTAGATAATTACGAGGCGATCGCCAGCTACCAGCTCTACGCCTACCAGGAGACGACGTCCGCGCCGAGCTCGGACATGTGGCGAAAGGTCGGCGACGTTAAGGCTTTAGCACTGCCGATGGCGTGTACGTTAACCCAGTTCGCCGACGGGAACAAGTATCACTTCGCCGTACGCGCCGTCGATGTACAAAAACGCATGGGACCGTTCAGCGATCCGGAACAGATACTGTTATGAGGGGGAGAAATTCGTGTGTCGTAATTTGTAAGATTTAACTTAATTTTATTTTCTGTGGACGAATCGCTTAGGTAATAAATTTATTGATCTTTGAATAGTTATCAAGACATTTTGTATTTCTAGAATAAAGACGTTTTAATTTTTTCCCATGTTTTGTCAGTTGCAGGAATCCACATTTATGGGTAGGTAGGCCTTTTTTTTTCAGAACGTGTCGCTCGGAAGCACTAATTGATGTTAGGTGGAAATGACCCCACGGATAGGTAGCCGCACCCATGTTCGGAGATAGTCGATTCAAGTTCGAACTATGCATTCGACTTAAAACAAACCTGAAAACGACGTCCATCACTGATTAAGTCGAAACCAGCGACACAAATGAACAAACAGATCTATACAGTAAAGGATGAACACTAAGAGGTGTGAAACGGTATTGGACTTGATAATAATAATGTTTATTAGACCATTTAGCGTGACATTGATCCAGCACAGTACAGTTTTTTACCACGAAACGTTACAACAAAAAAGATAGTTTCACATACCTAGACACGGTCCAACATTGAGGTTAAACCATACGCGTGTGGTTATGCTGGTAAACGGTGTGCATTCATTTTATGTATTCACAGCAGTCAGTTTTGCCCTGTATATTCCAATTAACCTTTTCTTCTGTGGAACTTTTTAATACATACTACGAGTCATTTGTTTCCCGATCTTGTGGTGGACTGCATTACCTACTTGTACTTCGCTATTTATGGTTCTCTAATGTGTAATAAACGACTTTAACTTGAATACTTGCTTGCATTCTCACCTCAACTCTTTTCGTTTTTAATTAATTGTGGCCGATGCTGAAGAAGAGCCATGTCCATTTGATTGTACTTGGTACACTGTACAATTTGAGATGTTAGTTTTTTGTCTTATTTTCGTTTTGATTCTGTAGTTGATTTATGTAAGAAATTTAAACAGAATTTTATTTGATAGTAGTACCTATGCAGAATTTGAAGAAACGGAAGTATGTAGGTAGGTGGGTGAAACATTTGGAGTACCTACCCGAATGATCCGAAGAGTGTGAAGATCATAAAGAATCTAAAGAGCGAGCCGGAAAAATTCGTAAGCACGACAGAATTTAAGGAATTTTGCCAATATGATCCTTGAAATTGTTAATCTAGGGATGACCTGACCTAAAAAATGGGTTCCAATGGAAAAGTGGAAAACACTTTTTCTTATTAATTTTAGTGCGTAGAATCCACAACAATTCGTACTTTTTTTATGAGACTTCTCAATCAAAAGTTATAGACTAGAAAAAATTCAAAGGGCTGTAACTTTAAAACTAGTAGCCCAATCTTGGAACTGTTTGAAATTATGGATTCTACAGGCGACATTCTATAAGAAAATTTTTTTTCCGGATCGATCTGAGAATTTTTTTTCGGGGCTCAAAAAAAGGCAGTGTAATACCTTCCTTTTTCACCAAAAATCGACTGCACCAAAATTTCTCGGGAAAACACTTTTTCTTATTAATTTTGGTGCGTAGAATCCAAAACAATTCGTACTTTTTCGATCAGACTTCTCAATCAAAAGTATATAGACTAGAAACCAATTTCGAAAAAAAATTCAAAGGGCTGTAGCCACTTTTCCAATGGGAATTAAATATGAAGCGAATTTAAGGCACAGGTGCTCGCGTACGTGACGACTTTAATGGCAGCACGGAAATTAACATTTGTATGATCTTGTAAATCAAGCCGTCGCGTCGTTTGAAAAGTGCATTCTTAATAAGCAATAATAGTTTACTATGTTATATAATATGCTTACCCAATAAATATACCTCAAAGATCTATTAATTGTTTCTTACATTTTTTTAACCATCCCCACGGACTGTATACGTACCCTTTTGTAGAAGATGGATCCGCGCTTGTTGGGACTTATTGCCGTGTGCAAATGGCATGCGGTCACTATGCCACCTGCCCTAGTTTGGGAGACTGTATATAGCCTCGATCAACTTCCGAAAGTTCCAAAGAATAAACTACACAAATTTAACAGCTGTCATAATTCAAGAAAAGAAAACTACCCGGGTCGCACAATGGATTATTCGAATAATCGCACGATTAATTGATTGACAATAACAAAAATTTATTCCGAAACACACGACACGATTATTTAGTTATTTAGATTATTAACAAAATTGTCATTCTAACTTTCGACCGTCTGCGTGCGGGATAATATGTCCAAACAAGCTTTTCTTTCATCAGGGATTGTATTTTATTTCTTTTACGACAAAAATTTATTCCGAAACACATGAAAGAAATAAAACACAATCCCTGATGAAAGAAAAGCTTGTTTGGACATATTACCCCGCACGCAGACGGCGAAAGAATGAGAAATCTTAAAATGGCAGTTTTTTTTATAATCTAAGACGTTCGCCCTGTATATAACCTACGACAATGCAAACATTTTGGAAAGCTGTGGCAATCCCACTCGACTTTTACAAGGGGAAAGCGGTCTACGCCATCTCGAGAGGACGAACGCTTCTTACGGTACAGCCATCTTGGTTTAAGCCGTCGTTAAGAGAGCATCGTGTATTTTGTTTGCTGTTTTTTTTTGCATTTCTTTATAATTTATTTGTATTCTTGTATAACGCAAATGGTTTTTATTTTTTGTGAAAAGATTTGCTCAACGCACCGTGCCTGATTGAAAACGGAGACACATGGCAACATCAGCGTCTTGGAAAGAGCCTAAGTCTGACGCAAACTGTAACGAAGCACCCGAAGTTATGGCCACACCGTACATTTGTGAAGTCTACCGGCTTTGCTGAACACCCGGTATCGAGTTTGTCGTTACTAAGGAATTCCGGAATTTAATTTGCTCTATGAGTGAGTTTTTGTGTAATTTCCGCTAAGCGCGTTTTGTAATGAATTTATCGGGATTGAAGCCGTTCAGGGAAGAATTGTTTTTTTTCAGCCGCCGAATGCTCTCTTGTCTATGGAACGCCGTTTTAGTATTTATACCAACATTTTATCATGTATCATTTAGATAACAGTCAATCTTATGTCTCTAAATTTTTCGTTTGTTGTTTTTATCTTACGTATTAAGAGATTGATTAAAAAAATGTTGATTAATAAAGATGATACATGAATTAAAATGTTTGTTGATAATTTGAATTAGGCGCTAGTATACACGTAGTCAAATAGACTAAACTGTAGTTCCTGAAACTTCCGCACAATCAGAGATACGAATTAAAATTATCAACAATCATTTTAATTCATGTAACATTTTAATTCAACAATCACTTTAAATAATTCTTGCCGATTTTAACAGCATGAATTCATATGATTGTTGAATTAAAATGTTCTCTGAAAATATTTGTATAATTTTATTCCAAAATTTTACAATGTGCCATTTTAAATAACAGTCAATCGTATGCCTCTACTTTTTACGTTTGTTGTTATTGTCTTACGTATTAAATATGATTGTTTAAAAAAATGTTACTTAATAAAAATGTGAAATGAATTATATTGTTATATTGAATGAGTGTATATGAAACTGTATTTCAACAAACAATTAATAACAAACAATTAAATTGAATTGCAAGAAATACTTCGAGTAATAAAACGATTTTGTCCAACAAACATAAAAATTCATTCATTTTAAATGTGGAATTAAAATTATCAACAAACATTTTAATTCATCAGTCATATAAATTCGACTATTTGAAAATTGAAGCCGAATATTTTCAACAATCACTTTAATTCAACAAACAAATAAATTTTTATTGTTAGACGTAGTAAAAGAATCTTTTAAAATGATTGTTGAATTAATATGATTGTTGAATTAAAATGCTACATGAATTAAAATGTTTGTTGATAATTTTAATTAGGCGCTAGTATACACGTACCCAAATACACTAAAGGATAGTTCCTGAAACTTCCGCACAATCACAGATACGAATTAAAATTATCAACAAACATTTTAATTCATGTAACATTTTAATTCAACAATCATTTTAAATAATGCTTCCCGATATTAACAGCACGAATTAATATGATTGTTGAATTAAAATGATTGTTGGGAATATTTGTACAACACTTCAATAATTGAATTAATATGATTGTTGAATTAATATGATTGTTGAATTAAAATGTTTGTTCATAATTTTAATCCCACATTTAATATGAATAAATTTTTATGTTTGTTGAATTAGTTCTAGTTAGTTATATTACTGTTCGTTTATGTATTCGTTTGTTGATTTGTATTGTTAAACTTTCGTTATACACATTGCTATATAATTCATATATCATTTCAATTAAGTGAAGTTTTTTAAACAAACATATTTAATGTTTCACATAAAAACAACAAACATAATAAATCGGGAAATAAAATTAACTGTTGTTTATAATGTTACATTGTAAACTTTCGTAATAAAAAGTAAAACGGCGTTCCATACTTGTCAGGGAAGACGGGAGCCCGTTAATATTTTAAGATTAAATTAATTATTGGCATTTTAGATTCCCATGGTAAACGAAAACTAGGATAGAAACGAGTTCCAAATCGAGTTGTTTATCAGTCTTGCAGACATGCCGGGGTGTAAATAACGACAACAGTTGTTGCAACGGAAAATTCAAATTGGACTAAGGGGTTAATTGGTGTAATGAGCATTGAAGTTTGAACGCGCTTAATTGGGTAAGTATGGTTAATGAATGACGTTGTAGAAAAAAACCGGCAGACCGCGTCCAGAGTTATATCAAAATGAGCGCGCTTAAAAGACGGCAAGTCCGATGTCCATCTTATATTTTTCCGATAATTACAGGCCGAGCAAATAATTTGCACCGCTGGAAATTCCCCAAGATTCGGATTTTTTTATAAGGTAAACGCTGGATTTTGTCATTTTGACATAATTTATTGAGTAAATAAACGGGAGTTGATTCTATTAACCTTCAATTCCGAATACGTTAAACCCTTAGAATATTGAGGGTGTGTTGTTTTTCGTCCTCAATACTAATATCGACTATGTAGATCGTTCGCCCTTATTCGTTACATTGTTGTTTTGCGACCTCAATGTGATATGTGGACAGCTTTGATATTACGCGGAAGGGCGCAACAAGAAATAAAATCCCTCTCGAAGATTATTATTGGACATCCACATATCAATTAAACTGATG